TCTCTCTCTCTCTCTCTCTCTCTCTCTCTCTCTCTCTCTCTCTCTCTTTCTCATACCTATAATAAAAAATCTTCTTCCCACTCATGGATCCGTCAGTTCAGAGTCTTCCCAGCGCCCTTGCTTACAATGAACTCATTTAATGATCGTACCAAAACACGAAAGAGACTCACTGTGCCAAGGACGGAGCATCCAATCAAAGCCTGCTTTTGCTATTTCCTCCATGCATGATCAGAACGCTTAGCCGCTCTTATGCACACCCCCCCACCACCACCACCTAGACTTCTTTAAAAGCAAGAGGAAGAAAATCTAAACCCCAAACTGGGCTCTTAACAAATACTTTTCTATTACCCCCCACCCCCACCCCTGGCAGTGCCTCGGCGCTCTTCTTTTTTTCCCCCAAGTTCGGGTTTCCTCCTTAGTTACTAGGTGTCTTCCTGCTTCGGTCTCGCCTCCTCCGCCCTTTAGGTCTTGCATCACTACAGTTCCGAAGAAAGGGTTCCTTCTCCCTCCTCTCGCCCCATTAGTTGGGACAAACAGACTCCTGCAAGCCCTTTTGTACACAGCACAGGCCGAGCATCTTCCAGTTCCTCACCAGAACCCGCTCCAAATCCACCCGGAGCCGAAATTTACCCACCTTACCAAATCAGTCCCGCCCCAACCAGTCGCACACACCCCTTTTAGCTGGGATCAGAAACTGAGGCCACGCCCCGTCCTCCCAGGCTGGCTGCTTGGTTCACGCTCTCACAGTGCGCTCCGGGATTGGAGAACCCCGCAGCCAATCCGTACCCTTAGCCCTGATGCGGGGCCAATCCCCGGCCAGAGCCAGACGCCGCCTCCACCCCGCCCCCTCCACCCTCCAGGAGGGTCCCATGCTGCACCCTAAGTGGACTTCCCACGGGACCCGGCCCCCGCGCCACCTCGCGACCTCCGGACTGAGGCTAGAGTCGCATTCGAACCGGGAGAGCGAGGTGAAGGGGCGCGGGACTTGGTGCGGGGTGACGCGGCCCGGGACGTGCGGAGTTTGCTGAGCTGGGAGCCTTAGGGGGATCGGAGGGCTGGAGAAGCTCCCCTTACAAGTCTCGGTCGGATCGCAGCGGAGACTGTGGGGGGGTGGGGTCAACCTTGGGGTTGACACGTTCTTTTTTGGAGAAAGAAGGGCTCCGAGATCACTGGACCCCAGTCCTCTGTTCTTTTTCTCTTAATTGTGTAATTTGGGGTATTTAGAACTCGTTCTTGAAAGGGCAGCACTAACTCGAGTTCATCCGTGATAGATTTTTGTTTGTTTGTTGAGGCAGTCTCTTGTTCTCGAAGTAATTATGTAGCAGAGGGCGACCTTGCACTTATCCTCCCGTCTCTACATTCAAGCCGTTTTTGAACGGTGCCTCTTAACTCATGCTGATAAACTTTGACAGAATTTTTCCGTGCTTCCTCTTTTCATATGGCCTTGAACACCTACCTCTTTGTACTTTCCAAGCCAGAACCTTGTTCACCTACCTCTGTTGCAATTAGTGAACTTTATAAACATTCCGGAAGTGGACTAACAGGTATGGCATGTGAAAATGAACGGGTACTTGCTCGTTAGTTCTAGCCATTTTAGGGGTGTCTTGGATAACCTTTCTTGAGCCTGCCGCTCACCTGAAGATTCTGGACGTTGTCAGATTCACTAAACTCTATTCTTTGGGTGTGTGTACCTCACTTGGGGCAGGTTTGTAACTTGATAGCTTGAGTGGTGAGTTCAGAGCACTAAACTTTAAGCGTTTTTAAGCTGAGTTTTGAATGCTTTGCCTACCTTTGAGGTTTACATTTTGCCTTCAACGATTCACCAACCTTGAATCTCTAGGTTGCTCACAGTCTTTCTTCTGAATCAGTCCACTCTAGAGATGATAAAATGGCAGTTTGACTTTTCTGTTGATCGTATATGTCAGGCTCTATATACAATGTGCTGTGATTAGATGGGCAGGGTCACTGATTCACATTTTTCTAGTTTTCTTCACAGACCCTTGTGCTTAGAGAAAAACCAAAGCCAGCTACCTTTTTTCCCCCAACATCATGACATCTGAATGTATCAATTTATTTAGTCTATTGGTGAATATCAGTATACAGTGTTAATCGCATTGGGGCAATTATTTAAAAACACATTTATTTAAAAAGCAAAAGTCATCCGGAGGTCATAGTGTAGGCCTGTAATCCCACTTGGGAGGTGAAGCCAGAGGATCAGGAGTTCAAGGTCATCCTCAGCTACAGAGTTTGAGGACAACCTGGGTTACAGGAGACCATACCTCAAAAATAAATAAATGAATAGGAAAGCTGGCACTAAAGGTGTGTGCCACCATTCCTGGCCTAAAGGCTTTATATTTAATTTTGAATATCTTTACAGATCTCCAGTGTAAAATGATTTAAATATTGTGCATCTCAGTAAAACATCAATGGGTCTGAGAACATTTCTCAAAGGAGTATCATATTTATTCGGGACTGGCAGAGCACCACGGGGGAAATGCAGTGCGGTAGAAATCTATGGGCGTATTCAAATAGGGCATTCCAAGAGAGGTGGCTTTGGGGCTTTTGTTTTGTTTTAAGATGCTGGGACTAAACACGGGACCTTGCGGATGCTACGCAAGCACTCTACCACTCAGCTGTATCCCAGTCACTCAGTATTTTGAAACAGTCTTGCTATGTAGTCCAGGCTAGCCACAAACATATGATCCTCCTACCTACTCTTACGAGTGCAGGGATCACAAGTATACAACACCATGCTCAGCACACATGGAGAAGTTTAAAACACACACACACACACACACACACACACACACACACACACACACACGGAGGATTATATAAAATACTTTGAAACACTAATCCTTGTCGTGTAATATTCCTTTACACTGTATGAAGATATGTCACTGTGACTGGTATTATTTATTAAAAAAAGATGAATGGCCAATATCTAGGCAACATTTTCAAGCACAGGGGACTCTGGGAAGCAGAAGGGTAGGACGCCAGGACACAGAGCAAGCGGCATGGGCATTACAAAGTAAAGGTAACCAAGCCACGTAAAAGAATGTACATTAAAAGTAATGGGTTAATTTAAGTTGTAAGAGCTAGTTAGAAACAAGCCTAAGCTATCAGCCAAGCTTTCATAATTAATAATAAGCCTCTATGTCACTAGTGGGGACATGGTCCCAATGAAAAATCCACCTACAAATCCTTTGACTTGTGATTTACAAGGCATTGCTTTGGTCCCAAGTTGAACACACAGTTTCTTGTGTATAAAGTTGCAGTGTCCTCTCTGCCAGCCTGTGGGTAGTCTTTTGTGATAATCATTATCAGACACAAACCTGTAACAACTGTAGCTTTATAACCTCCCTGCTGTATATACTTGGTTTCGTTCTGGTTGACACAGTGACTCCATCTTGATTCTAATCACTTGCATATTTCTTTTACGGCATATGTTTTTATAAGATATAGAATAATAGCATTAGGATGATTCCAGACATGAATAATATAGAATAGAATAAGAGTCCAAAGGGAAGGGGGAAGAGAGGGAAGGAAGTTAGTTTAGTTGTCAAAAAACGTGTTCCAGGCTGATGAGATGGCTCAGCAGATAAGCATGCTTGCTGCCAAGCTTGACAGCCTGAGTTGGATCTCTAGAACTCACATGGTTAAAAGAGAGAGCTGAGTCCCCACAAATTGTCCTTTGAGCCCCACACTCACACGCATGCATGCCTGCACACACACACACACACACACACACACACACACACACACCTCACAATTAATAAATGCAATTTTAAAACTTTTACTATGTTCATATTTGTATGAGCTTGTGTTCTATTAGCTGCCTCTAGGTGACTAGTAGTGATGTAGATAACACACATGACTCCTCTTTCAATATGTTTCTTCTCCAGCATGTTTTTGGCCCAGAGAAGACTCTACTCCCTTGGCAGCCGAGCACAGCTTCTAAAAACAATTTATCCTTCGAACGTCCTTGGATTCTCCACTTCTGCCGTAGGTATTGCTTATTACAGACAGACAAATTATTCTATGTATTTTCTCATGTTGGTTTAAAAAAAAGACACCATTTTCAAGGGAATTTTAGTAAGTATTTTAGTGGAATGAAGGATTCTGTCTCATCACTGATGAGAACTTTGGTTCTTTGAGCAATTGCTCCTTGTGTTGGCCACCCTTATTTTATGTTCATAGAAACGTTCAACTGGAATGTAAGTTTTTGTGTGTTACAAATGAGAAATCAGAATCATGACAGGTGTATTCCTCACCATGTCAGGCTCTACTGTCTGTGCTCGAGTAGGAATTCTGTTTGCTTAGCTGTTGTTACCTGTTTTTTATTATCTACAGTGCCTGCCACTTAAGCAAGGGCTTTGGCAGCAAGGGCTGCAGCCTGAGGGAATTCTGTTCCCTTAGGCACTGACTCTTGCAGAACTACTGAGAGAAATTATCTAAATCTAAAGAACTCATGATTCAACAGTTTAGGTGGAACTTTGCTTGGTCAGACAGGTTGAATAGCTAGTAGCTAACTTCCCTTTTCTGGCATCTTCCAAAAACACCCCCACCCCACCACCACAAATCCTTCTCTCAGCCCCCTCTTAAAAAGCCCTTGCTACGCGTGGTTTCTTCCTACCACTTCCTGTCAGCTAAGCTACTTGCTGACTCAGCCTCCTGCTCACAGGTTAATTTTATTTAATCAAACATGTCTTTGAATTGTTAACAAAAGCAGTAGGAAAAAATGCAACACACTTTAAAATAATATTCCCCAACACTTAGCAAAGCCTGTCACTCTGACTAAAAGTACAAAAGTGCAGGCCGATGGCCTCCAGTTCATCTAAATCAGTGGGTTATGAACTTTTTGTGGCTTGAGTGATGCTTTCACAGGGGTCACATATCAGATGTGACATTACTATTTATAACAGTAGCAAAATTACAGTTATGAAGTAGCAACAAAAATAATTTTATGGATGGGGGATCAGCACAACAATATTAAAGGGTGGTAGCATTAGGAAGCAGGGGAAATGCCATGGAAAAACAAACAAACCCAGAATGTGAGTCATACTACAGGATGGAGAACTGAGCCAGCTTCTTCTGTCAGTCAGTGGCATGGGAAGTGGGTGGGAGGCAGCCTTGAGAGGTATTACCCTGAGGTGACCTATCATAGGGGTCCCTGAAAGCTGTACTGCCAGCAGAGAAATAAACCAAGAGAGGCAAGAAGAAAGCCAATCAGCATCGACTTAGTTACAGGGCTGGTTCAAACATCTGCAGCATGACAATTATTTCAGTAAAGCTCAAGGTGTGATTACATTACAACTCTCTTGCAAAGTACACACCTTTTGCAAAGTATCTATGACCTTCCACAATAATGCGTTCCACTGACTGAGAAACAATGCTCAGGATAAGGAGGATTCCGGCGAGGGCTGGCTCCACAGAATAGCAAAGATCACCAGGTTATTAAACATCTACTTCCAGGTGAACGGGTGTCAGTTTCTTCTGTTGAAGAAAAAAAGCTGGAATGTTTAATAGCTCTCGTTTCTCTAGGGCTATATGTAAGCATGTGGACCTCATGCCCTCTACAACCCATGACTTCTGAGTAGCAACATGTAGACCTCAGTGAGGAACCTGACCCAATCCACTACCAAATTTTTAAAGGACAAAATTACAAAGTCCTAGTTTGAAGACCTTAATTGCTGTTTTTTATTCTAGAATTGGGCAACACATCACTCCAGGGAGTAAGTGTTCCAGGGGGCCCAGGAGGGGGAGCTGACTTAACACATGGGAAAGCATGGAAACAAGCTGAAACAGTAGACTGATGATTTCAAAGTTATTTTCCTAGTGAGGGACAGGGGGATGTGGGGACAGGGATCAGAAAGACAGAAAAATAAGTGATGCATAAGGTAAACATCAGGCTGCTTGAGTTTCTCTTGGTGGATGGACTAAGACAGAAGGACGCTCATGGCCATGTCCATTCGTGCAGTTTGCTTAGGAAAGTGGGCTGTTGACTCTATTCCTGGTTGCTTGTATGTGTGGTCAGCTGAGCAGCTTAGTCTGTGGTGTAAGGAATTCATTTTGCTGTTCAGCCTGATCTGTTACAGAGCTTAGTGCAGAACAAGACTTCCCTCCTGTCATTTCTGTTTGATAATATGAAAAAAATTAATGAGAAAGATGAATGTGCACTAGTTATATGTTTATGACAAAGAATTATTATTAATTATGATAATTAATGGGTTTTCTGACCCCTGATAATAGGTTTCTCCACCAACTCAGTAAGCCAGATCAAGCTAAATTGAAAAAGTGTAACAATGGGTTTATTTGAGCAAAGCAACTCTGGGGCAGGTTCTCCAGTCCCAGAGGTCGAGGCTAGAGAAGCCACACACCTGAACTAAAGTGGTGAGATTATATAGGTTGTAGACAAGGGATGATGACATGTTCCCCACAAGCTGGGTTTGTGCCCAAGTATGGTCAAAAGCGGAATGCTTTAGGCAGGGACTTGAGTGACTGGCAATTTCAGGGGAGGAAGCTCCAGTAGCCACCAAGAATGCTGAAGTGGGCTTTTTGGTGCCTTTCCTTTATTTGGAGACTCTCTCTTGGTGGGGTTTGGAGGGGGAATGGGGCTTTCTGGATCATTCAGGGCTGAGCTGGAGGTTCCAGCCAAACAGTAATGACATTCCAGTTGTTTTTCAAAGAGGTATACCAAATAAGTAGAGATATAATGAGGTAAGGTCCAGGATTTACTTTGAAATCACTCAGTGGTTATCAAAAAGAAAAGAGTTGGGGGAATCATGACATTGTTGAATTCATACTCTAATGTGAATGTGAGCATTTGATAATAGGTTGAGTTTTCTCTAATTGTCCTTTTCATGTGTCAAACATGATAGAATGTTAGGAGCTTCATGATGTTCATCTTCATTCTAATCTCTCAACCCTTACTATGTAGATTTTAAAAGTTCAAAAAGTATAATCAACTTTTAAATATTGTTACTTCTAACTCATGAGCATGTTGAATTTTCCTTCCCCCATAAATAGAAGATGGTTGAGGCCGGGCGGTGGTGGTGCACGCCTTTAATCCCAGCACTCGGGAGGCAGAGCCAGGTGGATCTCTGTGAGTTCGAGGCCAGCCTGGGCTACAGAGAGAGTTCCA